TTCTTTGATAAAACGATTTGACAAGCTCACAGCCAACACCTGCATCATTTAATGATTCAGGAAACTATAAGGAACTCCAGCCTAGGAAGATTTAAATAAGACTCCTGTAACCACATCTCCTGATTGAACTTCTGCCAATGATGTTTCTTTCCCAGGTGTTCTTAGTGTGAAACACTGATGCAACACAACATAACACTTTAGATGCATTCAAAAATACTTTGTCATTTCCTGCATTTCACAGATTTTTTTTTAAGTGTGTATCTTAACTTTCCTGGAAAAGAGGATATGGCAGATAACCTTTCACAAATAACTGTAGTACTTCAGAAAAGCAGGCCAAGTACATACAAACGTCATAGATTGTTAATAGGAGCTGCAGGTCCATAAAACATTTAAAAACATATAGATCTTTTAAAAGCTAAATGTATAGATTTACTGGTTACCAGATGAACCTCTATAAAATCCCTTTGTGGTTGTTTTATATGGTATTTTCTCACAAAAAACCCATCATTTCTAACTGCACTTTTGTTTCTATTCTGATTAAATATCTCAAGGATAATATTCCTATACAGTCTAATAGTTTATTTAATACATTAGACTGCCTGCTGAGGAAGGTGTAGCAATTTCTGAACACCAACATACTAGTTACACAGAGAAGTCTGAAAATAGGATTACCAGATAGTTTATTTAAAGATGCAACAGCGATTTTTAAGAGCAGCTAAGTACTGATGATAAGAAGTAGAACAGTTAGTATGACTACAAAGCAGAGCCTTCTCCTGTGTCTGAATGCTGGAAGCCAGTGGTGAATGATCGAAGTAAACAGGAACCTGCCCATGTTCTAGTTAATGGAAATGTTGCTGATCTTACACAACACAGAAATCTCCTGTAGTTGTATTCGTAGGGAATTAGAAGGATATTTGGGGTTATCAGTGGATGCAAGGAAGCTTCCAGCTGAACTATTAAACCGTACATGTACTGCAAAGTGTGAAAAGACAAAGATAGCTCAAGGCATGTACCAGTTGGTCAGTGGAGGTGATTAATGAGAATTGTGAACTAAGAACCTGGTATTTTAGATCTGCACTGAGGAGAATGCTACAAAGAGAAGATTCCTCCACAAACACTGATTGCCTGAGAATAAACCAGAAATCCAGGCAAGAAAAGTGGAGTAGGGCACTGTACGATTTAGTCATCTGCTAATTCAGATCTTGTGTTTATAATTCTCTGTCAATAAAAATCTCTGCTTAAATAAATGGGTTGAAGTCTAATTTCTCCTTCGGAGCTGGGAACTGAGTATACCTTTCATTTTGTGATAGGAAGGTGGCTCACATCTTGCAAAACCAGGCTTACAATGATGGCAGTGATTTTTTTTTGGCTAACTTTGCTAACACGCTGCAGTTTTCTACACTATAGCAGCAAAACTGTGAAAATCCCTCTCCCACATTTCTAAATTAGCTTGTCATCATCAATGCAAAAAGCATGATAATATCACCATACAAGTAAGTCATGCAGGATTTATTGGACTGGTTTTCAATGGGGAGGTGAACAAATCAACAGGATAACATTCTGTTAAATATGTATTAAAGTTCCCTGTAGTGATAATGCAAATCTATTTGCCATGGAAATCAATTTCTGAATAATAAAGTACTCAACACATCTGCTTCCTGGATAAACAATTTCTGTCCAAGAGAGAACAGCTGCCTTATCATGGTAAAGGACGATGAGCATTCAACTCCTCAATCCTGAGTTCAGTTCAGTGACATTACAGAAAGTATATTTCAGAAAATCTGTGGGAAAAAACGGCAAGCACCCAATATAAAGATGACAGAACTGACTGCAAAGATGCAGAACTTACCATTACAGTTCTGCAGATGCTTGTGCTGGTCAGATTGCAGGGTCTGTTCTGCAATCTTGAAGAAAACAGCGATGCCGCTGATGATACAGTGATCACCTCGATGTATCAGAATCAGCTCCCATGATGTCAGCAACGTTCCTCCCATCAGCCATGAAGTTACATGAAACACTTTTTGCTCAGGCTTGTATCAGCATGCCAAAGAATCTGCAATTATTTTGAAACATACAGGACATAGGTATAGGTTAGAGCAGCCAGACCACTCCTTCTGCAACCGTAACATCAGGATCTAGTGCTCTGAAAGTTTACTGAATGATTTTGCCTTGTATTCAAGAAAGCGCATCATAATAAGGGCATGGTAGTTTCTCTAGCATACATATAGCTTGTATATTATGATAAGACATATGTGGCAAATTTCACTCATGCACTTATATAGGACAACAGTCACATTTAAGCCACATTTAAATCCATGCTGTGAGGTATGTGACTTCTCTCTCCCCAAATCCCACTTCCACAATAATAAGAATACATTGCGAACACAAAACAGTTAAAAGCATGCTAAGAAAATAAGTAATATCATATGTGTAAGGAAAAGGTAGCAACACTAAGAGAATATGAAGATATTTATGTAACGTTATTTACAAATTTTTTTTTTTAATTTTACCTCACCTGAGCAGACAGATGAAATTAAGCAGCTAAGTAGTAGTAAAAAGGAAGATGAGAGAAGAAAAAAAAAAGAGACGAAACAAGGAATGAGAATAACTAGAGATGTAGGTTTCTAGAGAAAGAAACAAACAGTAAGTTATACTTTTGCAGGCAAAACGTATAGACTGTGATACGCATCTTACAGAACTACTGGGAAGAAGTCACTGGGGTTACTGTTTCTCTCTGCCTCACTCTGATGAGCACTGAATAGTGCTGATGCCCTTTTTTCATTCCTACAGCACACAATCCATCTTTGACTGAACCCAAAGATGACATTTTGCTATCTTGAGGTTAGACTGGGAAACGGTCTTTCATTCCTGGAAATTCCAGTGGGATTGTTTTTAAAAAGCAAGCCTATTTAGACCTACATACATTCAATAGAATGCATTTAAGAAAAAAAATACAAGATATTTAAACTCTTTAAGTGAATGGTACTGGGTGAGAAAGAACCTTCCAAATAAAGCACAGCTGCTGTGTTTTGTGTAAAGCTGCATAAAGTCACTAGAAAACATATTGCAAGAGACAATTTTGCCTTGGAATTGAAATGGATGAGTTGATCAAATAAGGTCTCTTTCATTACTGTTAGTTATCTTTGACTAGGCAAATACATCAAGGGCTTTTATATTTTTAAAAGGGTAGAAGCATTTAGAAGCAAAGAGAATTAGGAAAAATGAAAATTTGCTTTTTTTCTCATGTAGGTTCTAGACAGTAGAACAACATGTGAAGCTGTACCATTTCAAATTAAACGAAAGAATGTAAGGAACTTATACAGGCATAAAAATAGGGCTAGGAAAACCCTTCAGTCTTACCATTAACAACAAAATGCTAGAGAGGGCATTGTCTTTAGGGACTTGTTTGTCAAACAGTAAATCTGAAGCAACTTACCAAATGAGTTCTCTAGGGAGTCCTCTCTAGCTTCATTACATTAGTGCTAACAATACGGCCGCAGTAAACTTCGAATTGGTGTTCATTATGTTACACTTCTGACATGATTTTTCTGGCCTTTGCAAACTATGCAAGACCAGAACAATGTGTGTTCAGTTGAAAAAAAAAAAAAAAAGCATTACTATTTGACAAGACAAATGCTGGTATTTTAGAGACAAATTTTCCTCTTTCGCATTCACCAAAAGCCTCATTCCTACATTCCAGAACAAAATTTAGCCCACGGTTTTGTTTCATGCATTCAAAAATGTGTTTCAGCCTAGCAAGGCACATACTTCAAGCCAGGAGTTTTGTGTGAATAAGGGCTAAGTAAGGATATAGACCAATGACACCATTTACTACAACACCTTCTAGTGAGTACTCTTGAAGTATTTTACAAATGTGAATTAATTTCACCTCACTGTCCTGTGCAGCAGACAGGGAAAGTCAGCTATGTGTGATTTGACGTGGGGCACACCATACGCCCATGGCAGTATGAGGGGGGAAAAAAAGTGATCTCCCGTTTTCTTGTCCTGTTTGTTAACATCCTAGATAAATGATCTAATGGTTATATACACTTTTGGGAAACTAGAATCAAACATTCAAGAAAAGAAAACCCTAGGGTTCATTAATGGCTTTGAAACATTTCTCCTTGAGGGAGAACTCAAAGTCTTTTCATTTACTTTTTAGGAAAAAAAAAAAGGTAAGACAAAAGATGATTTTACTGGACGGGTTTTGAAAGCAGATTGACAGAGTTGAATCTCCACATTGTGAAGATTTTGCAGGACCTGACAAAACACAGAAACATCTTCCACAGAGCAGATATACTGGTACAGGAAAGTTAAATACACCATCAGGAGCTGAAGCTGAAAGAACAAAAGCTTAGCATTTAATATTAATGTCTTTCCTCTTTAAGTTATTTGGGGCTGCCACTATCATTTAGTCCACTTTTATGCAACATCAATCATACTGAGGCATTGATGGCGGACTGAGCTTGTAAGCATCACTGTAATACAAGGAATTAGACAGATACAAGGTTGTTAAGCAATCTGCTCGATGATTCTTCTGGAAGAACAACATAAATGTTTTTAAGATATACCTAGGTGAGTATGCAAAGTAAAAATGAATTCAAGTCATGGCCTTGTTAAATAATGCGATCTATGTTATCTATGTTAAATAAAAGGCAGTATTTTTGACAGATTCGAGTCCATGACTTTTGTCCATCATGGAATTCTGTTTTTTACATTCATAATTGTTTAGTAAATCATTCCTAAGTTTTTTGCATCTCCTCCAGTGTTAGAAATAAGACAGCTGACAGGATGCATGCCAGTTACCACAGCGCTACACTTTAATCTTTTACCACATGAATTTTTCATGGGGGCCTGTTTCAATCTTTCTCAAAAGTACATTTTCTACACTCACCATTGGTACAGCCGCAGAGTCTTACAAAACAGCTCTGCAGAGCTGGAAACGCGTAAGTAAAAACTATGGTGCTGTGCTAGCATCATAGCTATGGTGCTGTGCTAGCTTGGGGGACTGACAGGAAGGGGAAGGATGTTTCCTAATTGCAGAAGTCACCTTTAGCCACACTCAGCTACCAAGACGCAGGGAAGAGCAGCTCGCGCTCGGTCACTCATCTCACGTGAAGCGGCGGAGGCCAGGGAAGGCTTTCCTTCTCTTAAAATTATTTCACTGTGAGCACATGGCTTAAAGGTGGAAAGTGATTTGAACACTGCTGCTGCTATTCATTTAGACGCGTTACTGCAAGAGAGGAAAGCGTATTAGAACACAGACAACTTACAAAACACATCTAATGATATTACCGATTTCAGCGGTGTCTTGCTCAGGCAGAGGCAGCAGCAAGTGCATTATACATTGGCCCACGGTACGCAGACACCTCAGGGAAGTGACAGTCGGCCCCGGAGCTCTGCGGAGCACCAGTCTCTTTCAACGCCCGTTAAGGTGAGCCAGGTGTCTTGTTTGTTTGTTTGTTTGTTTGTTTTTGTCCCGACGGCAGAGCGAATTTGCTGTCTGCACCCGCCAGCACCGACGG